ACTGGGTGAAGAATTTTACATATACTTGCTCATCTCCGGAAAAAAAATGTACAGTTTGCTCGTCAGCTTGCAAGGCCGATGCACCGTACATTCATTGTGTTGTGTGTTTTAAATTGTGTATTGTTATGATGCCTTTTATTTCCTGTCTGTACCCCTTTCCCTGACTGAATTGTGAGCCGCCCTGAGTCCCCTTCGGGGAAAAGGGCGGCATATAAATGTAATAAATCCAAATCCAATTGTGGGTGGAGATTTTAGCATTTTTTACTAACAGGGTTACTAAAAGGCATCAACTCGCTAATGATACGATACACCCAATGGGTTTCAATTGCATGACGAATAAGCCACGGTGAATGAAGCTTAAAGGTAAAAGTTCCCTTCGCACATACGTGCTAGTCGTTCCCGACTCTAGGGGGCGGTGCTCATCTCCGTTTCAAAGCCGAAGAGCCAGCGCTGTCCGAAGACATCTCCGTGGTCATGTGGCTGGCATGCTTCAACGCTGAAGGCGCACGGAAGGCTGTTCCCTTCCCACTAATGGTGATTCCTATTTTTCTACTTGGATTTTTTACGTGCTTTCGAACTGGTAGGTTGGCAGAAGCTGGGACAAGGAAGCGGAGCTCACTCCGTTACGCGGCGCTCGGGATTCGAACCGCTGAATTGCCAACTTTCCAATCGACAAGCTCAGCGTCTTAGCCACCGAGCCACCGCGTCCCTTAATGAAGCTTACCTTTCTGTACAATGTCCAAGGAACATCATCAGTGCTATAAGGAATTGGGATTTGAGTAGTAGAGGAGGGAAGGAGGAAGGAGAAGGAGGAAGGAGAAGGAAAAGGATAAGAAAAAAACACTGGGTCCTTGATGCTCTCTGGGCTTGGCGCTTTTCTTGCAGATGTTTCATGACCCAGCTGAGTAACACCATCAGTGCTAGGAGGGAGGGAAAGTGCTCTCTATTTATATAACCCTACTGCCTTCTTGCACTGATGAAGTGACCTAGTTGGATCATGAAATGTCTGCAAGAAAACCACCAAGCTCTGAGAGCACCAAGGATCCCACAGTCCTCCTCCTCCTCCTTTAACTCCTCCTCCTCCTTCCAGTCCCACTCCTTTCTAGCACTGATGAAATGATCTAGTTGGGTCTCGAAACGTCTACAAGAAACCCACCAAGTTAGCACCAAGGCCTCCACCCCAAAGTAAAACACACAACAAAGCCACCTCCTCGGTCCGCTCCATCCCAAATCCACCCCGTGTGGAAATAAGAGACCTTCACACCGCCGCGAGCCTTATCTTCAGAGCCGCGTTTATTCCTGCACCCTGTTGGATATTAAAAAAAGATTTCACCCCATGTTTGGATAAATGGCATCACCTTCGTTTACGCCACAATGGCCTTCGGAGCTCGTAGGCCCTTGCTGGATTTCTTCCCCTTTCTGGAAGACGTAGCGGGCGAGTTCCTCGGACAGGTCGTCTCCTCGGTCAGGACGCCCCCAAAGACAGACTGGAGCTCCGAATCGTTGCTGACCGCCTGGCGCAAATGTCCGGGAGCGATTCGACGCCGTCCGTCCCCCATCGCGATGTTCCCGGCAATGTCCACCAGGTCGTAGGTCAAGTACTGAAGCACGGCGGTCATGTAGACGGAGGCTCCCGAGCCCATGCGCTCGGCGTAATCGCCTTTCCGAAGGAAACGGTCGATGCGGCTGACGGGGAATATCAACCCCGCCCGACAAGAACGAGATGTTTTCGGCTTCCTACGTCCTCTTCGGTAGGATGGCTCTGGTTCGAGATCTTCAAAGCTCTCCGTGTCACATTGATCGTCAGACATACTTGGTACCCCCACCTTGAGGTCTTTCCCCCCCCCTCCGCTGCCTGGTTCGCGACGGTTTTCAGTTGTTTTGCTTCTCCAGGTGGTCCCGTTTCTTTTTGAGTCTGATTTTGCCCTTCTGCCCTTTTGATCTTCCAGCCTTTGGGTTTTCCTGGCCTTGCGGGTTAAGCTCTCATTTGGAGGGCTAGCAGGAGAGAAAAAAACTGACCCACTGCATCATTTCTCAGAGCCCTTTTTGTGACGTCATTAAGGAACGGCAACAAGGATGCTGATAGGCCGGAGGGCAGCAAATAGGATGCCCGGGGCATTGTTACCCAAGCTGAAGACAGAATGATCCTGGCTTGATGAGGTTGGAGTTGAAATTTCCTTCCCTCTTTGGCTTCCTTTGCCTCTCCCAACAATTTCTGGTTTTGGGGGGATGTCCCGCGACTGTCAACACCAACAGAGATGCAAAAAAAGAGAGATTTGGACAGTACAATGAACCACCGTGAAGTGTCCACTATGTCACCTTTGGTGTTTGACACCCAGCAGTCACAAAAGTCAACACAATCCTACGTTGCTTCAAGAGAGAGAGAGATATGGAAGATCATGTGAAGTTCTCCTACAGTTTCATAAAGCCTTGGTAAAGCCACACTTGGAATTCTGCGTCCAGTTTTGGTCACCACAATATTAAAAAAAATATGTGGAGACTCTGGAAAGAGCGCAGAGAAGAGCAACGAAGATGATTAGGGGACTGGAGGCTAAAGAATATGAAGAACGGTTGCAGGAATTGGGTCGGTCGGTCTAGTCTAGTGAAAAGAAGGACTAGGGGTGACGTGACAGTAGTGTCCCAATATTTGAGGGGAGAAGAAGAGAGGACCCACCTATTCTCCAAAGGCAGGAGAAGAAGCAATGGGTGGAAACTAATCAAGGAGAGAAGCAACCGAGAACCTATGGAGAAATTTCCTGACAGGGAGAACCATTAACCAGTGGAACAACTTTTCTTCAGAAGTTGTGGGTGCTCCATCACTGGAGGTTTCCAGGGAGAGATTGGACAGCTCTTGGTCTGGAATGGTAGAGGGTCTGCTGCTTGGGCAGGGAGTTGGAGTAGAAGACCTCCAAGGTCCCTTCCAACTCTGTTATGCTGTTTTCCTTCCTTCCTTCCTTCCCTCCTTCCTTCCTTCCTTC